AACGAATCCATATGTATTGAGATGAATACATTGTAAAATCTCAGTTAATGTCAGTTGGTCTAAATCAGTTATAAATATATTTGGACACAACATGTATACTTGGTGTTATGTTCCTGTTCATATTTTTTGAACTTAAAAGTTGACAGACAACCTTTATTACCAATAATATGTAATGTACTTTACAATGTTCCTGACATATATTTCAGCTTCCTGGATTTTTTTTTCATCTGGCCTTCAGATATGAAAGGCAGAGTGATTTAACACCTGTTTAGATTTGTCATCCATGTGACGAAATGAAAAGTATGCCGTTTGCAATAAACTTTGCATAAAATAGTTAATTTGCATTTAATTTTAATGGTTCAAAGAATGTCAGGCAAAATGGTCGGCCCTCACGCATGTTCACTTCATCAAATCTGGCCCTCTTTGAAAAAAGTTTGGACACCCCTGGTATATAGCATTCCTTTGTATCAGGGAAGATCTAGAATTCAGAATGACCTTTGAGGCAGGGACCACCTCTTGACCAAAGAAAGACAAGATGGGCAAATCCAAGGCAAGTCAGCTAAATGGAGGTGTGGAGATAATTACGGAGAGAGGAGGTGGGGTTGTTTGCAAGGATGGCTATGAAGAGGACTTTATAAGAGATAACTAACTTCTCAGTTGGCACACAGACCCACTAACAGCAATGGGAGTGCAATCCCAGACCCCTGAACCACTGTGAGCATCAGGGCATTCGAAGGAGACTCAAATGGATTGGCTTTAAAAGGATAAACTAAAGCTGAGAGATACCTCAGTAAGACAGCTAATGTTAGAAACAGAGAACACTTTGGTGACTGGCTTAATGAACACACAAAATCTGCAGGAATTCGTGGCTATTAAACTAGTTGTGAATTTTAAAAAAGCAAGTTCTAATTTTTGTGTAGTTTATAGATTTTATTTTATTTTATTTTATTTTTAGCAGCACTGGCCCCCAAGTTCATCTGCAGATCAGTGGCGATAGGGTTTGCCTCTGTCTCTCCAGACAGGGCCTAGCACTAGTATTCTAGAACAATGTTTCTCAACCTTTTTTTTTTTTTTTACTTAAAATTCCCCTTTAAAAAAAAAAAATTATAAGTGCCCCTAATAGCTACAGTTTTCAGACACACCTTTTTTTTTCTACCATTGCAACACATTTGTTTAAACAACTTAATCGTAGCTGGATGAAATTTTGTACAAATAGTAAAAATAAAAAGTACAAAAATAATAAAGCGCTGTAAAAGTTAAAACAAAAATTCAGTTTTCTCCAAATTTCAATTGTGTTGATGTACCCCCCAGACTTCTCTTGAGTATCCCTGAGGATACTTGTACTACTGGTAGAGAAACACTGTTCTAGATCCCTTCCAGGGTACTCAGCAGAAAGCTTTCTGAGTGACGTTAGTTCCTGGGCAGAGGAGACAAACACACGGCCTGTGCACCTATTAAATCCCACTTAAGACCTCAAAATAGAGCTAGCAACAGGACAGAAGTAATGCAAAGTCCTAGTGCTGGCTTATCTCCCCTGAATGCGGAAATGTCAGGGTTCATATGGCATAGCAGTGATGGCAAGTAATGCAAGCATCTACCAGCACTGAGGTGAACTCGCACAGAGCTAGTGTTCGTGGAAAACGTGCCCTCTCTGAGGTTATTGACGACCAGTGCCCAGGCTCTCCAGGCAGCTGAGTTTTATTTTTGTTTGTGAGTACCTGTACTTAGCACTTCAAAAATAGTCCAAGTCTGGGTCAGATTTCCTCCTGTCCTGGCTGCTTGTCTCTCCAAGACCTTTTCAGACTGGGAGGCCTCTATTGCTGAAACAGTTTTAAAAAAAGGCTGGATGGAGACTGGGGAATGAAATATTAACCCTTGGACTTAAAAATCATGCAAAATAGATGAAAAAGATGCTTTAAAATGTCCCAGCTGTGATTTTTGTCCGATTTGCTGGTCTGCATCTGATGGGCACAGTTTAAATAGGGGAAGGTCGTCTCTTCCCAGCCAGTATCCTACAACTATTGTTCAGTTTTCTTTTGAATTATCACACTGACCACTGTTATTTTTGCAACAGCAGTCCTACTCCACGTCTTTCTTCTTTAAACTTGCCTTGTAATTGGATCTGGTTGAGTTGCAATATGGAAGGAATTTTAACTGCTTTCATTAGAAGGATCTGATTTGACAAGAAAGACCCTCCGGATATTTTACTGGGACTCTGACGAGCAGGTAGACGTGCATAGACAAACCCCACTGAGTCAGAACACAGTTTTCCCAGTTTTCCCAGACGACACAGTTGAGGTTGCACTCAGAGCAGGAAACATGTTTTGCTTATTATCAATTGTGAGGGCTCTTTTCCCCAGGAAATGCTAGCGCTGTGCTTTGGAGGTGATGCATAGGGGCCTTCTTGGGCTCTGTTTTGGTTTGTCTTGCAAGAGATACTAATTCTGTCTACGGAAGCCAGGATCCTAGGGAGAGATTGTTTCACAGAGACTCTAGAATATGCTCTGCTGAGGGCCACTTCAGAGGAGTCCAATCACTACCCGGGCATCCAGTCATAAAGCCATGATAGCTTGGTCCTCTTTGCCCCTCCCCATCATTGGGTCCTGCTCAATCCTGGCTGAAAAAACAGATACAACAATTGTTGAAGACTGGCCCAGGTCCCCCCTGACATAATTCTATTGGTCTCTCTTTGGGTTTGCCGCAGAGAGGCATTTGGCACAGCAGATTGGCGTATAAGGTAAATGCACAGCTGTTGGACTTGCTCAACTGCTTGTCATAGGTTCTATGCAGCTACTTCTTGGGTAGCTCCAATATCACAGGGAAGGGACTGGTGGAGTGAGGCCTGAGACTAACCCCAGCTATCTATGACATTCCACACAGGACAACAGGTGGGATAGTGACAGACAGCAAGCTAGGCTACCGCTAGCATGCGACTGTTTCTTCTCTAACTGCGCCCAGTGCCGGGTCCCTCTCTCATCTCCGTGGCACAGTTGAGTGCTCCTAGACCTCAGTATCTTGAGTACTGACATAAATAAAAATAACAAGCATCCTGCTTTTCTTTAGCATTCCTCTCTTCTGTACTAAGTGGAGAAAGGCTCAGGGACACTTTACTCCTCTCTGCTTCCCTTTCCTCCCACTTTCCCAAGTCCTTTCAGTCTCCACATTTGGCCCCTCTGTGGAGACCTACTTAATCCTTTTAAAGCAAAAATGCACCAGTGGTGGTTCTGCCCAGCTAGAACGGTGCTACTGTCTGCAGGTGTCACACATGTTCTTCTGCTGGCACTGGGCATCAGATCAGAGTGCTTTCTCAACGAGATGTGAGTCTGGAGCTGCAATGGGCAACTAAGACTAGTGAAAGCGACAAGGAGTCCAGTAGCACCTTATAGACTAACAGATGTATTGGAGCATAAGCTTTCCTGGGCAAAGACCCACTTCGTCAGTTGCATGTAGTGGAAATTTCCAGAGGCAGGGATGCTCCAATAAATCTGTTAGTCTCTAAGGTGCCACAGGACTTCTTGTCGCTTTTGCAGATCCAGACTAACACGGCTACCCCTCTGATACTTAAGACAAGTGAGTCTTAAACCTCTTTCATCTCAGTGAGTGCATGACCAATGGTGGGCAATCTGTGGCCCACTGGGGTTACACCTGTGGTCTGCACCCCCATCTCTGTTCCCTTCCCTACATCCCTCTCATGCCCTGGGGCCCTTCACTTCCTCTCCTTCTTCTTCCTCCCAGGAAGCACCAGGAATCTGCTGATTTGTGCTCCGTCCCTGGTCTTCCCCCTCCCTCCCAGAGCTGGAATGCTGTGAATCAGCTGTTCGTGGTATTCCAGCTCTGGGAGGGAGGAAGGGGAGTAAAAGGGAGGAATAGAAAGTGAGTGGCTCCAGTGCCCCAGTGTACGAGAGGCACATGGGGGTGGGGGACAGACAGAGGCTGCAGATGGAACCCCAGTGAGCTGCATGTGGTCCACAGATTGCAAGTTGCTTCCGAGTGGTCTAGAGGGAGAATTTGAAGGTGGTACTTCTTTCCACCCTTTAAAATATGAGTGAGTTTGCTCCAGCTCCAACTATAAATACGGGTTGTAAGATAGAAAGCACAGCGCGGAGGTGAAATTAAATCTAATTATAGCAATCAGTTTTATTCTACTCTGTATTCTTTATGAATGGGTTCCATCAGGTTGTAACTAATTAGCTCTGCCACACTACACCTAAGCAGTGATTTATTTTAAAGTACTTTCTATCCAAAAAGCCTTTCCAGATCACATGCCTTCGCGTTTGCAGATTTTTCCCTGTCTTTGTTTAGTGTGCTAATGTTATTGCCTACAACCATCTGCCCCAATTATTTTTTGTTACTTGGTCACTGCTAAAACCTTTACCATCGTTGCTTGTGAGTAATTAATGTTACCATAGTATTGATAGTGTTCTCTCCACTGGGCACAGGGAATAACAAGATAATAGTAATTAGGCAACAGGTAAAATTATTAATGACAACCACTGTTTCAAGATGAAAACAAGAGCATTTATTTATAGCCTTTACGAGGGCATTTATCATCATAATGTATCTCAAACCAGGAATGTGAGATGGGTAAGCTCTCATTCCATGCTCATAAAACATTCCGACTGGAGGGGTGGGAGGTGTTTTGATTTTTTTTGCCTGTTTCCATCTTTCCAGCACCTTCCCTTAACATGTGACCTTATCCAGCTCATTCTGAGGTCAGTGAAGGCAGTGGGGGAATTGAAAGTTGCATGTGTGCTGGGAAGGGTGAAATCAAATATTTGTTTCCAGGGCGAGGGAGGGGGACAGGGAGAGTAAAAAGGTCTCACCTGGAGGATGAATCATGAATCAGGATGTTCTTCCATCCCTTCCCATAGTAAACAACATGTTTGCTTTCTGTTTCTGTGGTTGGACATGGGGTTTGGCACGGAAGGCAGTCTGATGCAGCTAGTCATGGTCTTCTGGCTTGTTTTGTCTGACTGGTTTCTTTTCTCCTCTCTTGTCAGTTGGCAGGAAGCAGTTCATGAAATTTGAGTGGGCTAACAAAGCTGCAGAGGTGCTCGGCTGTGATTATGAGGAGCTCACAACCTCCGTCTTCAAGCACCATCTGAAACAGATAATAGAACAGGTCACATCTGGAACAAGTCGGCCGAGCAAAGACCAGGAACAAAACGCTGGTATCAGATTTTTTCCCACCCTTTCATTTAAGCATAATTGACATGGAAATATTGGCCTGGGTATTGTTCTTGACTTGGAATAGTTAATGTGTGCAGCACTTTTGAGAGACGTGCTTCACCCATCTCTCACCCATGCTGTGACCCTTTAAACATAGTTATATTAAAGAATTTTTAAAGATAATGAAAGTAGCTGCCTGCAGTTTATAATACTGATCATCCCTGTCACTTCTTCAGAGCATCTTAAGTTAACGAATCCTGACAGTCCCACTGAAAGGAAAATCAAGTGACATGGTCTAAACAACAACCTATTTGCTAAGCAAAGACACGTTTGTCAGAGTCTCTGTTCCTTGGGACACCCTTCTTCATGGTGCAAGTGAGATCTGGCTGAGATCTCTCCTGCTGTAAATTAGGGGTGCTAGATGATATTAATTCCTCCACCTGAATTATCAGCTGTGTGGAACTTCTCCAATGTCATTAGAATCCCTTTGGGTTGGCTGTGTCCTTGCCATCTTTGTGATCAGCCTTTCAGGTGCACTTTTTGCTGTATGCCACATCACTGCCTGAACATAGCCTGCAAATGAGCCCCTGGAAGAGGCAGAGACACGCCAAAACAGGCTAATGCTTTCCCTGAGACCAGCAAGCTGCCACAGCTTTCTCCTTCCCTTTGTAACTCACAGGGCAATTCATGTATTTTTGTAACAATTTTGCTCTGTGCTGAGGCCAACACGAGAAGTCTCCAGTGTACCCTTGCCAAATGTTTCCTGCAAGGAAACTGAAAAGCAACAGAGGCCGGAGTGGCCCATCAGTCTTAACAAACAGTTATTTGAATTGTAAATGCCAGGTGTTTTTCAGTAGCAAGTTTAAAT